TTGTCGTACAGTTTATTTGGAGTTTCCCTGAAGTAGGTGAGACGAAGTCTGGCCATTCTCGCTTCCATGGAGCATTCTGGCTGAACTTTTTCTGGGAGAGATTTGTTAGTGGGGCCCAAGGAATATGAACTATTCCTTAAGTGCAGTGAGTAGCCCAAACGGCTGACACTCTAACTAAAGGAATGATCTAAGAGTCAATACTGAAATTGAAACCCTAGAACTGGATAATGGAAAAAATGGATTTCTTCTGAAATTCTCAGTATCTGCACACCTTCAGGAATTTTTAGTAGGAAATAAATGGTACATCTAATTCCTTTCTTTATTAACATAAATTCTTTTCTTTAGAGAATGCTTTATTTGATTACTTGATATTTTGATATTTTGTGCTTCTTTTAAGATGATACTCAGACAGTAAAACTTTTAGTTCATTCATTCATTCAGCAATTATCTATTACACTGTTACTATGTGTCAGGCACTGTTCAAGGACCTTGGGTGTATCCATGAACAAACAAGACAGAACTTCCTGTCCCCATGGAGCCTACATTTCAAAAGGAAAAGATGGACAATAAACAAGATAAATAAATAATCCATTGCATGTTAGAAGGTCAGTGCTGTGGAGAAAAATGACACATGGAAAGGGGTTGGAGGGTAGGAATTTTAAAAAGAGTGGCTAGTAAAAGTTCTATTGGGTAAGTAACATTTGATTAACATTCAATCACCTCATTCGCATGTGGAAGCTGGACAATGAATAAGGAAGACCAAATAAGAGTTGATGCTTTTGAGTTGTGGCGTTGGCAAAGAATACGGAAAGCACCATGGACTGCCAAAAGAACTAACAAATCTCTCCTGGAAGAAGTGCAGCCGGAATGCCCCTTGGAAGAAAGAATGGCCAGACTTCATCTCACCTACTTTGGTCATGTTGTCAGCAGGGACCATTCTCTGGAGAAGGATGTCATGCTTGGTAAAGTGGATGGTCAACAAAGAAGGGGAAGGCCTTCAAAGAGAGGGACAGACACAGTGGCTGCAACGATGGGCTCAGTATAGCATGGATCGTGAGGCTGGCACAGGACCGGGCAGTGTTTTGTTCTTCTGTGCATAGGGTCGCTGAGTCAGAGACAACTAGATGTCACCTAACAACAACGACAACATTTGAGTAAACACCCAAGTAAAGTAAGGATCAAACAGGGAGGAGACCTGGAGGAAGAGGGTGATAGGCAGAAAGAACAGCAAGCGGAAAGGTCCGGAGGCAGAGCTGTGTCTCAGTGCTAAAGCCACCATGGTGAGCCAGTGGCTACTGCAGAGTCAGTAATGGCAGGAGGAAGAGCAGGTGAGGCTGCAGCAGTAACAGAGCTGCATCAGGTAGAGCCATATCTCCCTCACGGGCATCTTACTCCACTGAGTAAGATGAGGAGCCATTGGAGAGCTCTGAGTGGGGAAACATCATGATTTGACTAATGGTTTAACAAGACCATCTGGCTGCTTCACTGGGAGTAGGCTGTAAAGGGTAAAGCAGGGAGAATAGACCGTAGCCTACGGTAACAGCCCAGTGGAGACATGATGGGAGTTTTGGACTAGGGATAAAGCAATGAAGATATAAGAAGTGTCAGATTCTGGGTCAATTCGAAAGGAAGAGTAGATGTGTGGATGGACTGGATATGAGGGGGAAAGGGCCAAGGAGGATCCTACAGTGTTTGTCCTGGGCTACTGCAAGGACAAAATGCCATTCGCTATCATGAAGAAGACTGCAGAAGGCTCAGGTTTGGGGGGCAGATAAGGAATTCCATTTTGGCTATGCTATGCTTGACGTGCCCATGAGACATCCAAGGGGACATGTCCAACAGAAAGATGGACCCAAAGATCTGCAACTCACCCCAGAGACCTTGATTTGTGTCTTTAGAATATAGATAAAGCCAAGAAACTTTAAAGCCAAGAAACCACATGAGGTCACCAGTGCCTTGAGTGAGAGTCGACAGAAAGAAGAGGTCCAGGCCTAAAGTTTTTATTCTTGATCCAAAGTCATTGCAGCTTTCTGTTCGATATATAAAGATCCATACAGCATTTTCCTATCAAAGTCATTACCTAGATGCTATATTTAAAGTGAAGGGGTTTGTAAAAGTCACATCTCCTTTCTCCTAACTAACATGAAATGTTGGCTTTGTTACATTCTGCTTTTCTCACGGAAGAAAAAGTTATCGATGCCTATAACTTAGATATTTTCACTTTTACTTTCAAACAGTTGGCTCCACTTCCTGTCTGGTGACACTTGATAGTAAAAGCTGAATTTAACACAGGTCGTATGGAGTTCCCAATGTCCACACGCACTAGATAACTAGGTACCGAGAAAGAAGGGATGACCAGAAGGCACAAACCCAATCAATACTTGGCTATTTTGTTATATTTTAATCCACCAAAAGAAATAAAACATGCCAACACCCGATGTCCAGTCGTTAGTATCCAGGCAGTAGACTGATTAGCTATTGATTTTCCCTCCATCTTTCAGAGGAAGGATGGGGTTTAATGGAAGCCCTAGCCCTGGCTTTGAAACAAATACCTAAGGAAAAAGAAATCAAGTACAGAGAGGGTATCTTGACCTCTGCAGCTAATAACCTGGTTTAAATATACAAAAACCACAAACAATATTAAAATTAAATTTAAGCCTAAGTATCAAATCATGAGCTCACTCCATGCCTCTCAATGTACTAGAACTATAGCTGAGAAGGCTCCTTGTAGAATAAATAAATGGCTGGCAACCTGTGGATGGTTTGGTTTTAATTGGAGGATTTGATGGGTATTATGAAGTAGATAGTGCCTAAAGTACTTGACTGATAACCAGAAGGCTGGTGGATCAAACCCACCAGCCACTCCGTGGAAGAAAGTTTGGGCAATCTACTTCCGTAGTGATACTGCCTGGGAAACCCAAGGAGGGGTTGCTATGGGTCGGGTCCGACTCGATGGCAAATAACAACAACATGAAGTAGCAGGAGTGACAGTGGCTGGTTCCTACATGACAAAGGGCTTACTGTCACATGTTTAGGAACTGGGGAGCAGAAGCAGACCCATGTATCGAGGAAAGACTTGTGTATGAACTATGGACCCATGTTGGGTTTTCCATGGCCCCAGGAATGGGATCTGGCCTCTGAACCTTTGTCATGGTGGGTGATCCAGTTCCCTGCCCTCTGGCCTCCAGCTGTCGTGCATCAACCTGTTACCTGCAGCCAGGCTTCCAGACCTGCCCAACACCCCCGCCAGAATCATCATCTAGACAGGACTTCTGCCGGGAAGCTTGCCCTGCTCCCCTGGCGGGTCCTGTGCAGTGTCAATTCGCTTTGAGCTAGTCATCTTCTCATCTACATAGGGAGGTGTTGTTGTTAGGTGCCGTCACGTCAGCTCTGACTCATAGCGACCCCGTGTACAACAGAACGAATCACTGCCTGGTCCTGCACCAGCCTCACAATCCCTGCTACACTACACCTGAGCCCATTATTGTAGCCACTGTGTCAATCCACCTCACTAGGGCCATTCACTTCTCAAACAATTGGCCAGTGGGAACCTGAATGAAAGGGAGCAGGCCCTCAGCGAGATGGACTAACATAGGGAGGTACTGGATGGCTTTTCTGCCTGGGCTCCTACTAATCACTCTACCCCAGGCATGGGAGGCTCCATGAAGGCCTGAACCCACTGGCCTGCTCCAAGCTTCCATTATAGCAGACCACTCACACCTTACAACGTTCTTCCCCCAACTCTGCACGTGGAACTCTGCCTCCTTCTCTCTTTTAAGTCTGTGCTGAAGTGCTACCTCCTCCAAAATCCTAGTTGATCATCCCTTTAAAATGACAACCCCATTCCCCACCAATTACAGTCCCTTTACCCAGCTTTGAATCCCCACTGTGTTCACTCACACACCTTACGATCCCAACTCTGCTTCTCATAACCTTCTCTCTCTGGAATGTCAACTCCACAAAGAAGACTTTCTGTCTGTTTCACTCACTGATATAACTAAGGGCCTAAAACAAAGCAGGTCATGAATACTGATCTTCTGAATAAATAAATGGATGTAGAGCTCTGGTAGCATAGTGCCTAAGGCACTTGACTGCTAACCAGAAGGCTGGTGGTTCAAACCCACCAGCCATTCCTCGGGAGGAAGGTTGGGCAATCCTACTTTCGTAGTGATACTGCCTCGGAAACCCAGGGCCGACTCGACTGCAAATAATAACAAAAATAACAACCTCTTTCATACTTCATTAGTAAGAGAACGTCTGTATCTCTTGACTACCAAATTACAGGGAGATAACTTTTGAGGAAAAAAAAAAAAAGATTAAAGAGCCAGTCAGTGTGGTCGTTCGGTGGTGGAGACTCGGCTCTGACCCCCGCCAACACACCTCAAGTGCAGCCACCACCCGTCAGCCAGTGGGGGCTCGCGTGCTGCTACCACAGTGGAAGGTCTGAGCAGAGCTTCTAGACTGATAGGCTAGGAGGAAAGGCCTGGTGATTTCCCTTCAAAAATCAGCCAACGAGACCCCTGTGGATCGCAGCAGTCCCACCCACCCCGGTCACGTGCATGGCCCAGGCCTGGGCAGCATCCTATTCCCTTGAGCACGGGATCACCACAAGGTGGATGACAGCTAACAATGATGGCAGCATGACCTCACAAAGTCCACTCCACAACAGAGAAGGGAAGAAGGGTGACGCGGATCCCATCAGTATTCCACAGTTCACCATGTGTGAAGCAGGCAGGCTGACAGAGACGCAGAGGACCAGGGGACAGGTAGCAAGTGCCGAGCACTGCAGATGTTTTCAATTAGCAATTATTAGTGATGTCAACACACACCACCCTTCCTCCTGTCTCCATTTTCCCCTAAATTCTAGAAGAAACATCAGAGCCTTGGATTAAAACAAGGCCTCTAATAAATGCACCGTTTCCTCTCTGCATATGGGTTCACACATCGGCAGCCTGCTAGCAAAGGGGTTCATTTCCAAGCTGAGCCAACGTGACTCTTACCGATGAGCTCCTTGTTTCTGACGTCCAAGGCCATGTTTCGCAGGGCCGTGGCCACAGCGCACACCACTCGGTCGTTGTCTATTCGCAGCAGCTCCACAAGGATAGGCAGCCCTTTCTCTTTCCGGACAGCAGCTCGGATGTACACTGACCACTGCAGAGAGAGGTGAGGGACATTAGAAATGGAGGCAGGGAGTTCGAGAAGTAAACAGTGCACGCCGGGGTTTTTAGGTGGCTGTGAATAGGAGCCGTAACATTTGAATTACCAAGACCTAGTAGTGACTAAGTCCCTGGGTAGTGCAAATGGTTAGCTCACTGGGCTGCGAACTGGAAGGGTTGGAAGCTGGAGTCCACTCAGAGGTAGCTCAGAAAAAAGGCCTGGTAATCTGCTCGTGAAATATTAGCCCTTGAAGATCCTGCAGTGCACCAGTCGGCTCTGACACACAGGGGTTTCCATTCCTCAGAACTGACTCTACACCAGCTGGTAACCGGTACGTACAGAACAGGTTGAATCTGTTAGACATGTATTTAACATTTTCAACTTTATTTCTGGCCGTCAACATATGATACAGGTTTCAGGCTTAATCAGTTAAGCACAGTCAGCCTCTCTTGGGCCAGTGTTCTCAGTACCTCCGTTTGCAAGTCATTTACGTGACCTGTTACCTTGATGCTTTAAGATATGGAGATCTGGGATGGGAAGGCTTAGCTATTTACAAGAGGCTTTGCAAATAACCCTGAAAGTAGGCAGCAGGAGAGATGCCTGTGGGTGAGTTTTCTATTTGAGATTTGATTTGGGAGGCAGGACACAGAGGTGAGTTGCAGGATGTTTGTCTTCAGGTCATTTGCTGAATAACCAAGAGTAACTGAGCCAGTGAGAGGCAGAGGTGAGGAGAGGAAAAGAAGACACAAAACATCAAGAATTCAAATTTTAAAAGCTTTTGTAAAAAATTAAGATTCAAATGTATGGTGTCCAGGGTCATAATTCAATCTCTTAATTTATCAAGTAATATATGCCATTTGTTTGGGGCTGGTAATCAATGAACTTAATGGAACATAAACCAAAAAAGCAAAAACAACAAAAAACCACCAAACCAGTTACCGTCGAGTTGATACCAACTTGTGACAAACCCATGCATTTCAGAGTAGAACTGTTCTCTGTAGGGTTTTCAAGGGGTATGATCTTTCAGAAGTAGATTGCCAGACCTTTATTCCAAGGTGCCTGTGAGTGGATTCGAAGGGGCAACCTTTCCTTTAGTAGCCAATCACTTTACCCTTTGTGCCACAAAGGGAGTCCTAATGGAACACAACTAATACAGAGATGTACTTGCAATATTAGATGATGAAATATTCAGATTCATTTAATGGAATGCAGTTAGGCCCACATTTTCATATATGCTTTATCCTCTTATATAGTGTTCCAGAGAAGAGGGCGTGGCATAAAAATCAATGGACATAAGGGTTTAATGTTTTGGAATTTCATTTATGATCTAAGACAATTACACTCATGAAACGAGGTTTTGGGGTCAATGGCCAGGTCCTCCTGAGGACCACCTCTCCTGGAGCACAGCCCTCCTCCCCTCCCCCTCACCACCTCCCCTTCCCCGTAGGGCAGGCATCCCAGAGCTGGCTCTCACCTGTGGCAGGCAGGGAGCCCCCTCTGGCAGTGACCGTAGGGCATATGCCATGCCTGCCACATCCTCAGCCCAGCCCTGCATGAAATATGAGATTAAAAACACAAACATCTTCATCCCATCCTCCACCAGAAGTCACATTCACAAAGCTTCTCATCACTATCAGCTCACACCGAATATTATCTCTTGTTTCCCACTTTGTGTCTGAAGGCCTACGGAACCTGCTGAGGGGGTAGGACAGCAGCAAGAACTCACTAAAGCATGTCTGGGTCCCAGCCTCACTCTCAGGGAGGAAAGACCCACATGGGACACTGGCCTTGCTTACTGGAGGTTGGGTGTCTGGATGGGACATCCTCTGCCAGGAGGAAGGTGCTTCCTCCCCATTCTGAAAGCCCACTTCCATCCTTGCTCTGGACATGCTGAGACAGGCTGATCCCTTTACACATCGGCCTCCCACCCCCCTGGGCCCCACCCAGAGATGGATGGACCCCTGCGATTCTCCAGCCCTCACAGTGTTGGGTTCTTCCCCAGATCTAAGGAAGCAATCTAGAAAAGGGCAGAGAGCGGAGTTGAGAGTGTGGTCAACGCTTAGTTAATTGGAAGATGAATACCAACAATACATTTTAACACTGGGGAGATAGTCTTGCCACTCTACAGGGCTTGGGGAATATTTTGGGGAAGTTAGGCAGCTGATGCATGGGCCCCAAGATGACTTCCATCCAGTCCCCTCTTCTATGCCCAAGCTATTGTCTTCTCCATTTGTAACCTCTTTTAGTTCTCCACATCCCTGGGAGGTCAGCATTATTCTTCTTATTTTATAAACAAGGCAACTGAAACACAAAGATGGTGAATAACCTGTCCACAGAGGGCCTGCTTTGCTACTGCAGCTCCCGTTACTCCCAGTGGTTCTTTTTTTGTTGCCGAATCATTTCCCATTCTGCCTTCATCTTCTTCCCTCTCACAAATTCTCTCTGCTCTGTCCTCCAGACACTGCCTGTCTCTCTTCCTCTATGCTTCCAAACTTAGGGGAAAACCTGATAACATGTGAATAAGGCATGAAGGAAAGGACGTGATTTTGGTTTTCCTTCTCTGCAGTCGAGTTACTCTACCCTCCTCATGTTGGATGGAAAGAAGATTCGGTGTTTGGAGAATAATGAGAAATGTTCAGCTGGGAAATGACTGGACAGTAACAGTGAATGGATATGTGTGGCCAAAATATGTACTAGTTACAGATACACATTTTTAATATGAGAAAATGGTCAACAGCAATATGTTCTCCTTAAGTCAAAAGGAGTAACAAGACAGTGGCTTTAACAAATGATTGATGCATAACAAATGGAAACTTTTAAGGGTGTCCGTGTGTGTTTTTTGAGTGGTGTACAGGAAATTTCCAATACTACCTCAGATTATGACAACTCAGAATAAATTATTCATATTTCATTCCAAAGATGTTGCATGTTTCTAGTCTTCTCGACATGCTTGATGATGTATTTTAATGGAGCAGCCTACCGATCCTATTATGTTCATATTACTTGGTTCCTCAACCAATACCCATGGAAGCAGCAATCAAGACGTCAGATGATGTATTGCATTGGGCAAATCTGCTCCAGAAGTCCTTCTTAAAGTGCTGAAGAGGAAAGATGTCTCTTTGAAGACTAAGGTGTGCCTAACCCAATCCATGTTGCTTTCAATTACCTCATATGAATGTGAAAGCCAGACAATGAATAAGGAAGACCAAAGAAGGGTTGTCGCTTTTGAGTTGTGTTGGCAAAGAATATTGAAAGTACCATGGACTGCCAGAAAAATGAATACATCTGTCCTGGAATAAGGACAGCTGGAATGCCCCTTGGAAGTGAGAATGGCCAGACTTTTCACCTACTTTGGTCGTGTTGTTAGAAGGAACCACTCCTCAGAGAAGGACATCATGCTTGGTAAAGTGGAGGGTCAGAGAAAAAGAGGAAGGCCCTCAACGAGATGGACTGACACAGTGGCTGCAATGGTAGGCTCAGGTACAACAAGGATTGTGAGGCTAGCACAAGATCAGGTAGTGTGTTGTTCTGTTTTCCATAGGGTTGCTATGGTTGGAGGCAACTTGATGGCACCTAACAACAACAACTATCCTAGAGTAGATCATGTGAACCAACCCTGGTACTCATGGAATCCAGAAACAGTTAAAAGATAGATAAGGTTTAAAGAGAGGAAGGCATGGTGCGGACCAGGATGTCTGGAAAATGGGAAATATTTCACTTGATTACTCCATGTAGAAATCCAGAGGCTCATGTGCCATTGTTCCAAAGGCGAAGTGAGGTAGAGTCTTTCCAATGAACCTTGAGCCTTTGCAAACTGGATGAGGGCCCCATGCCATGAACATGTCAGGGCAGAGGGGAGACACCAAGTGGGTACAGACCAAGCTGCCTGTCAGAAGAAAGGTCCAGGGGCTAAAGACAGTATGCTTTGTGATTCAAAAGTAGGGCAAGGTGGAAGAAGAGGAGGGGTGGGGGAAGGAAGAGGAGGGAGATCTGCCCAGAAAAAGAACAGCACAGAATTGTGATGCAAATTGTTCCTGGCTTTCACAATGAGGGTCTCAGGAGGCTTATGAATCCTCAAAATAAGCCCAGCTAACACTTGCCTAATACTATGTTCTAGACACTGTAGGAGCTCTGGTGGCACCGTGGTTAAGGCATTGGGCTGCTAACCAAAAGATCAGTGATTCAAACCTGCCAGGTGCTCCATGGTAGAAAGATGAGGTAGTCTGCTTCTGTTAAGATTTACAGACTTAGAAACCCTATGGGGGTCACTATGAGTTGGAATCGACTCAGTGGCAGTGGGTTTGGTTTTGGTGAGTTAGGCACTGTTCTGATTCTCTTAATACATGCATTAATTCTTTTAATTCTCATATTAACTGTGATAGATACTATTGTAAAAAAAAAAAAGATGTCTTTAAAAATGAGCCTTTCTGAACACAGATATATATATCTATATATCTATATATCTATATATCTATATATCTATCTATCTATATATATGGCATGGTATGACATATTAGAGGTGTTACCACAATGTGCAATTGGCACTTGGAAGGGGCTTTGGGAGAACTAAATATGACCCTGTTAGACTAAAGGTTTTGCACAGTATGAGACTAAGACTGGATAGACAGCTGATTCCCAGCCTCCTGCATGCTCCCCAGTGACAGTGACATGGGCACATACCATCGAGAAGAGACTCAGATAAGAGGGAAGTTCAAAATGAACCTCCTAATATCCCTGGCCTCTAACAAAGAATAGGAGCTTTGGTGGTTAAAGCTGTGGTATTAAGGTTACATGTCAACATGGCTGGGCCTGGTTGAGTGGCTGGGCAGCTGGATGTAGTTATTCCCTATGATGAGACTGGTAATCAACTCCATGGTGGAATCTACTGTGAGCAACTGAGTAGCTGCGTTAGGGATGTGGTTTGCTTTCACTATAAAAGAAGATGCTTTGAGAAAGGTCTTGAGCTTTTTGGCCCATCTGGATCCTGCATTTGG